GGTACAGCTGTTGCCACTCGTCTTGCTGAAATGCTCAAAGCCGGGCTTTGATTTTTTACCAATCAGGGTGCTACGGCGAACCCTGTCGAAGTGTGAGGCGGGGGAGGAAGAGTAGTAACCGCCAGCCTGCGATTGAGTCTGGGTTCCGCGCGAGGTGTAGCAGGGGTGTTAGTCGTACGAGCGAGAAAATCTCACATAGATTTGGTGGTAGCCGTCGTAACAGCACGGGCTGACGACCGTCGCAGAGAGGTGAGATGTCCCAGTTTGCGACCTCCACACATTTTTCTGCCTGCCTCGCCAGCTCTTCTGGAGAGAAATATGGCGGGATTTGAAGCTGGCGAGCCGTATTTGCCTGATCCCTTGCAGTTCGATTTGCACGCACGAGGCTCGGAGCATAGGTGGGGTGCGGGGTTGGGATTGTGGCCGTTCGATCCCCATCTTGTGGCTCTCGTCCATTTCTTGGTTGCACGGCCGCTCCCCTCTGATTCCTCCCCCTTCCTCTTCCCAACTGTTCTCTCTCCTCATCCTCGCCTTCTCCATTGGTGCTGCTGCTTTCCTCGTGTGTCTCCTCCCTATAAGACGGGTCATTTCTTTCATCCCTTTCAGTATCAAGTAGTGTTAAAGCCAGTTGCCCTGCAAACTGGAACGCATTCTCCAGACCACCCTCTACCCCGCGTCCTTCCTGCCATCCCGCTCCTCGTCCTCTACTCACTCGCGATGGTGATTGCTGGCGAGTCGTGGCCATCGCCATCGCACGCTGCCGCTGTGTTAGCAGTGAGCGGAAGGTCCCCACCTGCATCCGTCTCGGGGATTGCTGCGCTGAAGCTGCCAGTCCCACCTACCCCGAAGCCGGCGCCCCCTGCCGCTGGTGTCTCACTGCCTTTGGATCCACTACCCGTGACGAGCGCGGCTCTACCGTCGCCGCTGCCTGTTCCGCCTGCCCCTGTTGTCGACTTGGACCCTCCGCCTCCCGTCGAGGCTCCTGAACGCGCCGCTCCTGCTGTTCTGTCGTTCATCCCTATAAACATTGTAGTACCGCTTGTTGTGGCCGGCCCTGCTGTTGCTCCGCCTGTCCCGGGAGTCCCTGCCTCAGCACCCGCCATTGTTGACCATGTTGCGCCTGCCGCGGCTGTTGCTTCGTTGCCAATGGCGGAGTCTTCCACCACTGCCGGCCAGGCCCCGGTTGTAGAGCAGGCGGTGGCTGTTACGATGGCTATCCAGATAGCTCCCGATCCTGCTCCGCCTGTCGCCGCCCCCCCTGCTCAACGTCCGCCGTCTTCGGGCCGCCGACAGCCTCGGCCCCATTCCCCTGCGCCTCGTGACGAGCGCGCGGCGTCGCGGCAGCGCCACGATTCCCCTCGGTGCCGTGGTTCTCAGGCAAACTGGCATGCGACTCGTGGTGGACGTGGTGGGTGGTGGAGTGGGCGCGGTCATGGTGGTGGCTGGGCGTATGAACAGCCCGTGACGATGCCGGATCTTCAGCGCGCTGTTTCTACTGCGGTGCGCGAGAAGCGGAACGGGCAGGCAAGCCAGAGCAACTCGCCGCGTGTTGCTCCGCCCCCCGTGCCTCCTCCTCCTGTTGCGCTCCCTGTGCCTGCCGCTCCGCCTCTGCCGGCAGCTGCTCCGCCTCCCCATGCTCCCTCTGCATTTGCTGTTGCTCCGGCGGGTCATGTGGAGCCCCTGCAGGTTCCTGCTGCTGGTGACGCGCTATCATTCCAGGCGTGGGCGGGACCTCCTCGAATGGCTGAGGTCCCCGAGGCGTCGCATGGGCAGCTGTGGCGCCTTGCTGAGGGCTTGCGGGCCGTGCACCTGATCCAGGCGTACGGTCATGCTGCTCTTGCTTGTGGTGGCTTGCTAGATGGTCGCCAATGGGACGAGTGTCTTAATGCTGCTGACCAGCTCGCGGAGCTGCTAGCGCACGTGCTGGCTGCGCCCGCGATGGGCGTAATTGCGGGTGTTGGGCAGCTTGATACAGCTGTCTGTGGGCTGCGACGGATTTTGCGCGCAGGCTCTGGAGCCGATGTGATCGGCGCAAGCACGGCGGCGGTGCGGGAGCTGCATCGCTCTCTGACTGGGCTCCTGGCAGTTCTTGACGCGGATCAATTCTAGTGCCTGCCTCCTGCTCCATTGTTGTTTGCGTAGCTTCTAGGCGGTAGGTTTTGCCATTGCTTGTATGCTCCTGAATATACCAACTTGTGCTTGTGGACCCTTGCCGCCCCAAAAAAAAAAAGAATAATGAAGAGGAATCACGGCCTCTATGGCCTTTATACTAGGGGTAGGGAGGCTAGGGAGGCGAGGAGAGGCTAGAAACGGCTAAGTCCCTAAATGCCTCTCTCTCTCTCTCTCACTTTCTCTCTCTCTCTCTCTCTCTCTCTCTCTCTCTCTCTCTCTCTCTCTCTCTCTCTCTCTCTCTCTCTCTCTCGCTAAAGCCCAAGGCGGAAGCCAAGCGCCACTGCAAACAGTCCGGGTGAGAAGGTGAAGTCGCCCCTCATGGGGATCGCGTGAAGCCAGTCTCCCGCCCCCACCCCTTGCAGCGCTATGAGCCGGATCACACCCGGCTTGTCCTTCCTCGTGTCACCTACCAGCTCCGCAGCCCTGTCCTGGTTGATATGCCTCGATAGGATTAGCTGCAGGTGCCCCTTCCCGTCCCCCTTCTGGTGGTGCGTCTTCTGGACTTCTCGAGCCTGCTCTGGGAGCCGGTTCCAGAGGTCCTGGAGTGTCACCCCTCCTCACGCCGCCTCTCCTTCTTCCCTTAGAGCTGAGAGTAGGTCCGCCACGTGCTGCAGAGGGTTGTCATGCTACAGCACTGTTTGTCAGAGCAGTGTGTTCGCTGCATGCAATGAATCGAGGTATGCCACCAGTGCCTCCGAGAGTGGGTCTATTAGCCCCAGCCCCCCAAGGCAAACTGGCAGCGTCGCCTAGCGCCACACAAGGCTCTGCTCTATCTCACTAGCCGGTGCGTACATCTGTGCCGCCTTCAGTGCCGTCCAGAGCAGGTCCTCGCTCCAGTCCCGCCATTCCACCAGCGGCAAAGTGTCGGCCGGGGTCGTTCGGAGCATGTACGAGATGTGTCGTGACACGCATCTTGAGAGCAGTAGGAGTGCATGTTGCAGGTGCAGTTTGCTTATGAGAGAGAGTGGCGCCGCCACCATGCCCAGTGCTGCTCGTATGAACCTCCGCCCGTACTCCCTTGTCCCCACTGGGCTTCCAAGCACACGAATGTCGTCGATCGCCACCACCAATCCTTCTGGGAGCTCGTCAGAGCAACCCGCCGGGCACCACGCCGAGGATTTATCAAGGTTGCACCTCAGGCCGCACTTCCGTAGGTCCTCCATGATGATGTTGACACCCTTAATCGCTTGTTCCGGAGAGCCGATGATCGTGATGTTATCAGCGTATGCCATCACCACCGTCGAGGGGCACATAGCTGCCGCCTTCAGAAAGGTTGGCTGGATGGCCGCCGCAAAGAGCATAGGCCCCAATAGGTCTCCTTGCCGCACCTCGTGAGTGCTCTCGATGTAGCGTTCTTCGAAGCCCAGATGCAGGAGGAGTCGTGCCGGTGCGCCGTACAGGGTGCGAACCAGCGGGAGGAGTGGCTCGAGCGCAGTCCATTTGAGTGACGTGAAGAAGCTCTCCCGCTCCACTGAGTTGAATTCATTCTCGATGTCCAGCTGAATCGGAATCCTCGTTGGGTCATCTGCTAGCAGGGCTCGTGTAGTGTGTATTATAGTCTCTGCTCCTCCTGTCACCACCACACCGAACTGGACTGGGAGGAAGAAGCGGCGAATGCCAGGTGAAAGCTTCTGCAGCGCCGCTTTCACCGCTATCCTAATGATCGCCTCGCCTATCGATATCGGCCTGACTCCCCCTCCCGGCTTCTCAAGGGCTATCACTCTGGATGGTAGCAGTAGGTCTCTTAGAGGCTCGCTTAGGTATGTGCTCAGCAACAAATTGACCACCTAGTGCAGAAGTGTGAAGACTTCCCCGTTCACGAGCGTGGGGTCACGCAGGTGTTCAAAGCAGGTTCCAGATGGTCCGGCCCCGATCCCATTCAGGCACTTAGCTAAAACCTCACGGAACTCATCTATGGCGATTTACAGGGCCGACGAATCATATCCGGTGACCCATCCTGGTGTCGCCTGTCCTACCATCGGGTGCTTGGCGCGAAGTGTCGCAAGTGTCGTGGGGGATTGCTCGGCGAGAGGGGTTGACTGTAACGCTGACAGCGCTTTCGCCAGGTTCGCCTTCCGTACCAGACCCTCCGCCCTAGCACACATCCCCTCGGGGTCTAGCTGGTCTCTGCTTGGTTGGGGGTTCGGGGGAATGATGCAGGCTTCCGAGAAAAGCAGCTCCCATTCCTCTTCTTGAAATCGCTGGAGTCTCTTCTCAACCACTGCCCAGTGGTTTCCGGGAACTTGCTCGGTTTTGGCTCGTAGGGTCAGCCCTCGGTAGGAAATATAGGATTCTCCACGCCCCAGTGCAATTCGGAACTTTCGCGAGTCGTTGCAGGGGGATCGTCATGCAGTAAGCGTAGAGTCCCAAGATCTTGGGGGGAAGCTTCCGGAACAAGAAGGGTTGTGCGCTGCAGCACAATGGTCGTGGTTTCCATCCTTCCACCTGACTCCAGACAACCAAGTTAGCCGCGATGTCTGCTGGCGATCTTGCCTTGCTGGCGGCCTCGTTGGTCTGGGTGCCACGTGACTCACCCTCGTTAGCGTTAGTCTCGTTTCCCTCCCTCCTTGCCCTTCGATTCTCCTCATTAGTCGGGATACCCTGTTCGTGGTCAAGTGACACATCCTCTGAGTCCCCATACTCTTCCTCCATATATTCTTCATCCCCATCGTCCTCGCCTTCATCCATTGGTTCTTCTCCCTGCTGTCTCTCCGGCCTCCCGTGCCTTTCCCACCAGGTACCAGATCTGACTTTTTCCCTTGCTATGGCCACCGCTAGACCCCCTCGACCTCGCCTTCCACGCGCGCCTTGTCCGCCGCGTCCCCTCGATGCAGCCGGCTCTCCTCCCCGTGCCCTCGCAGGCGGGTTTCCCGCTGCTGCCTCAGCCGCGCGCTCTCGTAGCAGCCGCTGCCGCGCCGTTCCCCCTCGACGCCGGTCAATCGCGGTCACTTGGACCTCCTCCTCCGCTGCCGTGGCATCTTCCGCCTCAGCCTCTCCCTGTTCGGTCGTTTCGCGGGGTCCTCCCGCGTCGTCCCTCGCTCCCGATGACGGGCTGTCGCCGGCCGCCTCAGCGTGATGTGATTGTGGCGGCGGGGTCTCCTGCTGCGCCCACCCCACTAGGGGCCCCGAGGGGGCAGGTACCAGCCCTGTTCTGAGCCGCCGCAGACTGCCTATCTGCGGGTGTTGGCGCCTCCCCCTCTGCGTCGCCAACGCGGCCGAGGGAGCCGGTGTATCTCTCCTTACGCGATCGCACCCATCCTATTCTCCGTGCCCGTGGCCAGTCCTTTCGTCGTCGCCGTCCTCCTCGCCCGCCGCCCTCTGGCCAGGCTCGTCCTCGACCGCAGCTTCACGCTCTCGCCGCACAGTCCCAGCTGCTGCAGCTCCCTCCGACCCGGTCCGAGACCACGTCGTCACTCCGATCTGCTTCGGTGGCTTCGGCGCAGTTCGCGCTGCTGATCCTTCCCTCGTGGCCGCCGCCGTCAGCGCCTAAGTTGGCGCCGCCTCCGCGGGCGCGGCCCCTTGTCCCCGCACACCAGCAGTCTCAGCCGACCCCTGCACCTCCCGTTGTTGTTCAGATTCCCGACCCGCCATCTACAACTGGGCCTGGCTCGTCATCGCCGCCGCCACAACCGCTCCTCCACCTCCTGCGCCGCCCTCATTGGTGCCAATTCTGGTTGCTCTGTTCGCATATTCATACCCACCTCGGTTGGATGTGAATGTGTCGGCGCCGCCTGCTGATCGCGGACTCCCTCCTCTTGTTCCCCCTCCTTGCGTGCCTCGTTGCCACCATCCCCTTGTGCCTGGTTCTCGTCTCCCAGTGGCCCGGTTTGGATTTGTGAGTCTCTCCCATTGTCGTTTCCTCTTTGCTTGTCACGGGATGTTTTCCCCTGCCCGTCGCCCATCTGCCGTGTTTTGCCGTTTCCCTGCCTCCCTTTCTTCTGCAACCCCCCTTGTCCTGCAGCACCAGCCGGTGCCCGGCCTCTCCCACGGCTACTAGAACGAAGACGAGGTGTCTGGCACTCCTCGTGACCCTGATGTGGATTGGTGGGGGGTGTTGTGGCCCCACGTGCCGCGCGAGGGGAACTGGGGCACTCCTCCCCCGAGCCCTCCTTGGGGGGAGCCCCGGCCTGGGGATGGGGCTTACCAGTCCCGCGGGATGCGGTTGTCGGAGGTTGGCCGGTGCGTGACGGAGTTATCTTTCGTGCTTGACCTCCTGCATTATGCCCTTCAGTCGCGGGAGGTTGTGGCCCGGGATCCGCAGCTGAGCGAGGACCAGCAGAGGCGGGTGCGCCGTGCAGTGTCGAACGCGCTGTGGGATGTTCTTCATCTGCCACTTGAGCCGGAGGACCCTTTGCTGGACGACGGTCCATGCTTTGCGGCTTTCCGCATGGTAGCCACGGCTGCTGAGGAGTCACCGCCTGGGATCGTCCCTGCCCTCGCGTGTGTGCTCCGGTGGCTCGGGCGGCGGGTGGAGCGGATGTAGACGTTGCCTTCGCCTCCTCCTTGGTCCCGGGCTTCTTCTTCCCCATTGCGGGGGATTTACCTTAGTCTAGCCCTTTCGGTGTTATGTTTGCATGCTTGTACTGCTCCCCGTGTAACTGCTTCTTTCCCCTCTTGTACTGCTCCCCGTGTAACTGATTACATATTTTTTTACTAGGGAAATAACTGACTTGACAGTGTCTCATCTGCTTGGTTTATGTCCCCTTTTTGGCTGGCATAGATATATTCCAGCAAATCTCCCATCTGAAGGCTTTATTTTTCATTTACGGTACCCTAAACCATTTTTTACAAGTTTCTCAATCAGTCTTACATATATTGAAAACCATTTCGTAACAGCTTTGTCCCGAAATTTATCGAGGCATCTCAGCTTTTGGCAAATAGTGGCATTTTTTCCCTTTCTGAGCCAGCCTTGTTTCTTGAACTCGAAAACTGGGTTGGGTTGTACTTCTGTTACGAGTGCAATTGAGTGAGCGAGCGAGAATTGCACTATCGAAGCAAAAGTACAACAAGCGAAGGCATGAGCGAAGAACATATAGCGAAACTACAGTGGTAACGGAAATGTGTGGAAAATGGGGTGCGCGACGGGCCTAGCGCCGAGGTCGGGAAATGTCGAGGCGGAGGTCCGGAGCGCGGGTTACCAACCGAACCGTGAGGTTGGGTCGCGTCGTGAAAAGTGGCGGTAACAATGTCGAGGCGAGTGTCGCGGGTGGTAAAGGCTTATGGTTGGGTGCTGTTGGCGGGAACAGTGTTGTACGTGAAAAGCAGGGACGCGAAGTAAGGAAAAGGATTTTTCCTTACAAATTCCCGCTTCTACCCTTCGCCACACCTGTTTTACGAAATTTTCTGTCGGCACCCTTCGCAAACCTAAGCTCAACTTTAGTATGAAAGTTAGTGTTACGGGTGCAATGAATCGAGGTAGCGAGAATTGCACTAAGGTGTCAAACGAGTACAAAATGTGAGCGAAGGCATGAGCGAACATTTATACGCGAAACATGCAAAACGGTAACGCGGTGCGTGCGAGCTTGCTAGTGCTACGCTGGAGCGAGGCTCGGGCTAGTCCCGAAGCGTAGGCCGATACGGCCATGCCAGCAGTGCGAGGTTTGGTAAAACAGTGCGCGCGAAGTCGGCGAAGTTCCGTTAGCAGTAACGGGCGAACAATCGGCTGTTGCTGTACGCGATGTAGTCGGCTCCGTAAGGAATGCCGAGAAAATTCCTTACACTACCCCCCCCCCCCCCTCAAGAAGCCCCCTCCGCTACGCGAGTGCGTGTATGTCGCGGAATCCCCGGCTCCTCAGGTACACTTGCAGGGCAGGGTGATTTTCGATGTTGCTCAGGGGCACCCAGCTATCTTCAGTTGGCGTGCGGTCTTTCCAGCGAACGAGGAATTCAATCCTCCTGATTCCCGTGGGGTGGCGGATCCGATGGCTCAGAATTTTTTCGGGCTCGATGATCGGCTCTGATGCAGGGCGAGTCATTGATTGTGGCCGGTGACGCGGCAGTTGACTTGTGGTCGGGATGTATGGGCGAAGGAGGCTGACGTGGAACGAAGGGCTGATGTACCAGTCGGTTGGCAACAGTAGGTGTGCGGTGACGGGTGTGATCATGTGACTGATTTGGAATGGTCCACAGTAGCGTGGTCGTAATTTTGGTACGTCGGGCAGTCGCAGATTTTGCGTGTCGAGTAGCACGTAATCTCCAGATTGATACGTGACGGGGCGGCGGTGGCGATCAGCGTTGCGCTTAGCGATGACGTTGGCCTTTTTTATGGCTTCGGCGGCTCTGGCGCGGGCAGCTTGCAGGATTTCGGCGAATTGTTGTGCGCGTGGCGTTGGGTTGTCCGGACTCGGCGTCATGGGCACTTTGGGGTTCTGCCCATAGTTCAGGTAGAACGGGGACTGCTGCGTCGTGGCTGATGTGGCGTTGTTGTACGCGAACTCGATCAGCGGCAGCTGCTGCTCCCAGGTCGTGGGGTCGTCGCACGTGGCACGAATCAACTGCTCCATCGTCTGATTCGTCCGCTCCGTTTGGCCGTCGGTCTCGGGGTGGTACGACGAACTGAACTGTAGCCTGGTCCCGAACTGCTCCCAGAGGTTCTTCCAGAAGTTGCTGGTAAATTTCGTGTCCCTGTCGCTGATAATTGCTGCTGGTATCCCGTGCAGGCGAACAACGGCTGCGATGAACAGGCGAGCGGTCTCCTCGGCTGAGATCGACTTTTTGCACGCAGCAAAGTGTGCCATCTTCGTCAGCCTATCCACGACGACCATCACCGCGTCGTTCCCCCCAGGGTTCGAAGGTAACCCTGTGACGAAGTCCATGGTTACTTGCTGCCAGGCGCGTTCGGGCGGTGGGATCGGCTGCAATTGACCCGCCTTCCGCTTCCTTGAACTCTTCATCACCTGACACGTCGGGCACGAGCCCATGTGCTGCTGTACGTCGGTCAACAGCTCCGGCCAGTAATAGTACCGCTGCAGTTGCTGTCGCGTTTTTTCTACCCCGAAATGTCCCGAGGTAATCCCGTCGTGTGCCTCCTGTAGTAGCAGCTCCCTCAGTAGTGAGTACGCGGGTACCCAAATGCGGTTGGTGCCTGCTTTTACATAATAGACTCCTTTTGCTTTTGCCAGTTGCTGTGAATTTCCGGTCGTGAAAAATGGGTCGGTGCGGTATCCGTGGGTGAATAGGCCGGTTAAAAGCGGGTTGGTCTGGGCGAGTAGGATGGCGTGGAGTTGGGCGGTGGGGCGGGTGAGGGCGTCGGCGATGTTGGATGCACCCTTTTTGTACGTAACGGTGTAGTGAAAATTGGACTCGAGATAGTCCAACCAGCGAATCTGTCGTGGGTTGAGATTCGGTTGGGCGCGAAGATACTGTAGCGAGCGGTGGTCTGTCCGTACTGTCACGTCGGCGCCAGTCAGGTAACATCGCCAAACTTTGAACGCGTGCACGATCGCTAGCATCTCGCGGTCGTGTATCGGGTAGTTACGTTCGGGCGGGTGTAACTTGCGGGACTCGTACGCGATTGGCTGGAGGCCGTTCCCGAAATCCTGCAACAGTACTGCTCCCACAGCGATGTCACTTGCGTCGGTGACGAGCTCGAACGGACGGTGGGGATCTGCAATGTGAAGGACGGGCGGGGAGCACAAAATATTTTTGAGGGCCGAGAAGGCAGCTTGCTCTTTCTCCCCCCACGTGTACTCAACCCCCTTCCTCAGCAGGTCAGTCAACGGGGCAGTCAGCTTCGCCATGTCGGGGACGAACCGGCGCACGTAGTTGACGAACCCCAGGAAACTCTGCAACTCGGTCAAGTTGGTCGGCGCGTGCCAAGCCTGAATCGTCGCAATTTTCTTTGGGTCTATTTCCACTCCTGCAGCTGAAATAACATGTCCCAAAAACTCCAGGCGGTCCTGTAAAAACTCACACTTAGATGCTTTGGTCAGTAGGCGGTTCTCACTCAGGATTTTAAAAACTGCTTCGATGTCTTGTAAGTGCTGTGCTCTGTCAGGGCTGTAAATCAGTATGTCGTCCAGATAAACGATGACGCACTTATCTAAAAGCGGGCGGAATGCTTCGTTCATGGTCATTTGGAAAGTGGCGGGGGCGTTGGTCAGTCCGAATGGCATGACGGTGTATTCGAAGGATCCGTAGCGTGTTCGGAATGCGGTTTTAGGGCAGTCGGGTGGGTTGACGCGGATTTGGTGGTAGCCTCCTCGGAGGTCGATTTTCGAGAAAACCCGGGCTGTGCGCAGTTGGTCGATCAGTTCGTCGGCTCGTGGGATGGGGTAACGGGATTTGATGGTAACCCTGTTCAGTGCTCTGTAGTCGATGCACATGCGAAAACCCCCGTCTTTTTTCGGTGTGAACAGTATTGGTGCGGCGAAGGGCGACGAACTAGGGCGAATGAATTCCTTTTCGAGCAGGTAATCGAGCTGCTTCCTTAGTTCGTCTAGTTCGGGTTGGGTCAATCGGAACTGTCGCTGTACTGTTGGCTGTGCCCCCGGTTCCAGTTCTATCCTGTGATCGTGCGGTCGCTGAGGTGGTAGTCCCGTCGGTAAGTCATCCGGGAAAATGTCACTGTACTGTTTTAACAGTGCCGCCAGGTCACTCGGTACGTCGGTCAGCACTTTCTGTAAATCGCCCCCCTTGTCTGCTGCCTCGGCTTCCCGAATGTCCACCGCGTACACGTCAGCTCCGGCCGCAACAACGCGTTTCATCGTGATCGCGTTGACACGCACCGACGAAGGCTCAGGCGAGCCCCAGCGAGGTAAGGCGATGTTGTTACCGTTTACTCGCACGGTGCAGTCACCCGTCGTCCAGTCAATTCGCGGATTGTGTCGTCGCAGCCAATCACGCCCGAGTAAAATGTCGGTTCCGTCGAGGGTCGTTGCGAGCATTTCCTGGCTAAACGTGAAGTTACCCCCGCATCGAATCCGAACTCGGTCTACGCGTTCCCGTATTGCCAGCGGCGTGCCGTCTACCAGTCGTGCGTCGATCTCAGGTAAGCATCGGTCCAGTGGCAGTCGCAGTTTGCGTGCTGTAGCAGTGTTAATGAGGCTGTGGCTGGCTCCCCCGTCTACGAAGATTTTAACTAAGTCCGTCCCAATTTTCCCACTGAGCAGTATAGGGCTATCTACCGTGGTACCCTCCTTATTCGGCCGGGTGTGGTCGATTGCGTGAACCGGCACAATCACTCGGTGAGGGTCGGTTGGGTCGGGCGAGCGGCGTGACCTGTCAGTAGAGGGCCCGTCTGCTACTGACTTCCAGCGTTTCCCTGCTGCTTGGTCTGTGTCTGCTGCTCAGCTTCCCCCTTTCCCTTAGCGTTTTCCGGGCATTCGCTCTTGCGATGTCCCGGCCGATTGCACGCAAAGCAGCGCCCTTTGAATGGTGCGGCAGCGGCATTTGCGGCGACGGCGCGTATCGTGGCGCTCTCGTTCGTCCCACGAGGCCGATGTCCCCAGGTGTTGTTTCCGTAGGACCCCGGTCTCGGTCGGCGAAAGAAGTCGAGCTTCTCCGCCATAGCGAGAATTTCCTTAAACTCAGTGACGCCGCGAAGCTGGATTTCCTGAGCGATGTCCTGCTTCAGGCCGCCGATGTAGCGGTCGATGCGTTCGCTCTCATGCATGTAGCCCACCTGCTCGCATAGCGCCAGAAATCCGCTCGTGTAATCCTGGACGGAACCGAGTTGGAGCCAAGTGCGGAGCTTCTGTCGCGCCGAGATCGAGGCCGCGATTGGCTCAAATCGAGCGCGCAGACCTGCGCACCACGCGTCCCACGTGCGATACTGGGGCACCTCCACGAAATACGACGGCGCCCAGGGTCCGGTTTGTCCTTCCCGTGTCGGTAGTGTCGCGTAGTCGGTCGGCTTCGTGACGATGACGCGCCACCAGTCCATGGCGGGTCCTCGCAGCAACGACACGGCGTATCGAATCTTCGCCGAGTCCTCCGAGACGTAGTTGGCGTCGAAGAAAACATTCATTGTGAATAACCACGCCTGAACGGTAGGACCACCCCGTTGACTCGGGTCAAAGCATGGCGGGCGCTGCGGCTTCAGCGGCATCGGTGACGGCAGTCCCGAATCGTGGGTTGGTGCCGAAATCGTGACGCGAGGCTGACTTGGGGCCGCAGGCGTCGCTCTGGGGTGTGTCGTGCCGTGGTCGTCGTCTCCGTCGGGGCGGACGACGCCATCACTGGCCGCGCTCGCGGGTTGCCCCACACTCCCGTGTTGTGATGTTGAGGGTGCGGGTTGAATCGGAGTGCCAGGTGCTTGAGATTGTGCTCTCAGGAGGTCATTTTGCAGTGATGAGCGTTCTGCCGTCAATGCCGCGATTTCCTCGGAGCTTTCGTGCAGTTGTCGCAGCAGATCGTTCAAACGCTCCTGCGTGAGAGTGGTGACGTCGATGTTTTCGGCCATGACGAAGGGCGTCGGCTCGTCTTAGTCTAGGCGCAGTCGTGGCTGCACGCGTTTACGAGAGAACGCGAGGACAGCGGCTCCTAGGGGCTAAGGTGCGTGAGTCCCTTCGAGTGAAAATTCAAAAGTTGATTTCGTGGTGTGCGGAGATGCGCGGTCCGAAAAGAAAGGGGCTCTGATAACCAAGTGTTACGGGTGCAATGAATCGAGGTAGCGAGAATTGCACTAAGGTGTCAAACGAGTACAAAATGTGAGCGAAGGCATGAGCGAACATTTATACGCGAAACATGCAAAACGGTAACGCGGTGCGTGCGAGCTTGCTAGTGCTACGCTGGAGCGAGGCTCGGGCTAGTCCCGAAGCGTAGGCCGATACGGCCATGCCAGCAGTGCGAGGTTTGGTAAAACAGTGCGCGCGAAGTCGGCGAAGTTCCGTTAGCAGTAACGGGCGAACAATCGGCTGTTGCTGTACGCGATGTAGTCGGCTCCGTAAGGAATGCCGAGAAAATTCCTTACAGTTAGCCATTCTAGACTCGGGTTTTAAGTAATGTTCAAGGCACAATGTGCAAACTCCACATAACGAACGAGAGCATCCCGCCGTGACAAGGACAATTGGGCAGCCCAGCGTCATGCAGCGAAGCGAGTCGTCCAACCAGTCGGGCTCCCTTTCGCGCCAACACTTTGGCAGCTTTGCGGAGTGGAGCGCATCACCACGCCTCGCTTCTCCCACAGCCCAACCTTTCCCCCGCTTCCCCGCGCAGCCTCATCACATCCCGCGGCTCACCCAAGCCTTTCGCAAGAGTTTGCTGACGTGGTACAAGTTACGTGTTCCCGATAACCCCCAACCAAGGCGACTGACTCCCATTTGACCGTTCCACTCGTGGCAAAGGATAAGCAATTTTGGTTTCATCACAGTCGGCCAGATATCTCCTGCTTGCCCGTTACTGATGAACCCGCTCTCACTCACTCGCGTGTTCTTCGCATTCCCCACTCTTTGCTTCGTCGTGAGCTAATCGGTTTTGCCGCTGCCTCTAGTACCGGCCGTAAGTCGGACGTCGAACGGACAGAAGCGCGTCAGTGCCTTGTGGGGCGGAGCAGAACGAGTTCCTTGTTGACGTGAGGTTCGCCTCGCCTTCCATCATCGTGAGGTTCGCCTCGCCTTCCATCATCGTGAGGTTCGCCTCGCCTTCCATCATCGTGAGGTTCGCCTCGCCTTCCATCATCGTGAGGTTCGCCTTCGCCTTCCATCGTCATGAATCATGGCGGACGCGACCGCCCGAGGAGGTGAGGCATCGCTTCCTTTCTTTCCTCGAGAGACACACTCCCCTAGCACACGCAGCATGCACGCGCAGCAACACGCCGCGTACTATCATGCGTCGCCAGCGATTTAGTCGAATCGCTGTGCAACGGTTCCCCACCCCGCTGTCAACCTCCGCGTCTCGTCGTGCGCTATGCGGGATGCGACCTCGCCGTCTAGAGAATGAACTGGTTGGACGGTTAGAATGAACTGGTTGGACGGTTAGAATGAACTGGTTGGACGGTTAGAATGAACTGGTTGGACGGTTAGAATGAACTGGTTGGACGGTTAGAGTGAACTGGTTGGACGGTTAGAGTGACGGTTGGAATTGTCGACATTGTCAACCGCCGCCGCATGGGTCAAGTCACATTCGGTACAACATTAAGAGCACATTCGGGTACATATTCTATGTTACCACGCACTCTCAGCTCACCGTCACTCCAGTCCGAGCCACGCGCGCATATACTTTCTGCGAAATTTCCCCGCCCACCGTGTCGCTATCGCAGCCCGATTCCACAGCTACAACGCCTCTTCGATTGCGGCTGCCTCGGCGCCTGCACGTCGGATGGCCGTCCAGCTGCACGTCGGATGGCCGTCCAGCTGCCTGCCAGCTGTCAGCGTGTCAACGTGGCTCAGCGCCTGTCGTGTCAACGTGGCTCAGCGCCTGTCGTGTCAATGTGGCTCTTTCGATGCCTCCGAGAAAGAGCGTCCCTAGGCGTCATCACTCGCGGCGTCATCACTCGCGGCGTCATCACTCGCGGCGTCACCACTCGCGGCGTCATCACTCGCGGCGTCACTACTCGCGGCGCCATCACCTTTGCTTCTCCGCCGCGTGCCCTTCGCAGGTCCCCGCGCCAGCAGCCTGGGGGGAGGCAGCCCGAGGGAAGGCAGCCCGAGGGGAGGCAGCTCGAGGGGAGGCAGCTCGAGGGGCGGCAGCTCGAGGGGAGGCAGGCCGGGGGGAGGCAGGCCGGGGGGAGGCAGGCCGGGGGGAGGCAGGCCGGGGGGAGGCAGGCCGGGGGGGGGCGGGCTGCAGGGGGTAGCGGAGGAGCGGTGCAAGCAGGCGACGGCGGTGAGCGGGCGAGGGAGGAGCGCGAGGTGCTGCTGCTGGTGACGAGCGCCGAGACCAACATCCAGCTCGTCCTCGCCGACATCTCCTCGCGCTCCCACCTCGCTGCCGGTGAGCGCACGTGCTGCTGCTGGTGAGAGCAGGTGCTGCTGCTGGTGAGAGCAGGTGCTTGTGGTGAGAGCAGGTGCTTGTGGTGAGAGCAGGTGCTTGTGGTGAGAGCAGGTGCTTGTGGTGAGAGCAGGTGCTTGTGGTGAGAGCAAGTGCTTGTGGCGAGAGCAGGTGCTTGTGGTGAGAGCAGGTGCTTGTGGTTAGAGCAGGTGCTTGTGGTGAGAGCAGGTGCTTGTGGTGAGAGCAAGTGCTTGTGGTGAGAGCAGGTGCTTGTGATGAGAGCAAGTGCTTGTGATGAGAGCAGGTGCTTGTGGTGAGAGCTGGTGCTTGTGGTGAGAGCAGGTGCTTGTGGTGAGAGCAGGTGCTTGTGGTGAGAGCAAGTGCTTGTGATGAGAGCAAGTGCTTGTGGTGAGAGCTGGTGCTTGTGGTGAGAGCAGGTGCTTGTGGTGAGAGCAGGTGCTTGTGGTGAGAGCAGGTGCTTGTGGTGAGAGCAGGTGCTTGTGGTGAGAGCAGGTGCTTGTGGTGAGAGCAAGTGCTTGTGGTGAGAGCAGGTGCTTGTGGTGAGAGCAAGTGCTTGTGGTGAGAGCAGGTGCTTGTGGTGAGAGCAAGTGCTTGTGATGAGAGCAAGTGCTTGTGGTGAGAGCTGGTGCTTGTGGTGAGAGCAGGTGCTTGTGGTGAGAGCAGGTGCTTGTGATGAGAGCAAGTGCTTGTGGTGAGAGCAGGTGCTTGTGGTGAGAGCTGGTGCTTGTGGTGAGAGCAAGTGCTTGTGGTGAGAGCAGGTGCTTGTGGTGAGAGCAGGTGCTTGTGGTGAGAGCAAGTGCTTGTGGTGAGAGCTGGTGCTTGTGGTGAGAGCAGGTGCTTGTGGTGAGAGCAGGTGCTTGTGGTGAGAGCAGGTGCTTGTGGTGAGAGCTGGTGCTTGTGGTGAGAGCAAGTGCTTGTGGTGAGAGCAGGTGCTTGTGGTGAGAGCAGGTGCTTGTGGTGAGAGCAGGTGCTTGTGGTGAGAGCAGGTGCTTGTGGTGAGAGCAGGTGCTTGTGGTGAGAGCAGGTGCTTGTGGTGAGAGCAAGTGCTTGTGGTGAGAGCAGGTGCTTGTGGTGAGAGCAGGTGCTTGTGGTGAGAGCAGGTGCTTGTGGTGAGAGCAGGTGCTTGTGGTGAGAGCAAGTGCTTGTGGTGAGAGCAGGTGCTTGTGGTGAGCGCAGGTGCTTGTGGTGAGAGCAGGTGCTTGTGGTGAAAGCAGGTGCTTGTGGTGAGAGCAGGTGCTTGTGGTGAGAGCATGGCGAGAGCAGGTGCTTGTGATGAGAACATGGTGAGAGCAGGTGCTTGTGGTGAGAGAAAGTGCTTGTGGTGAGAGCAAGTGCTTGTGGTGAGAGCAGGTGCTTGTGGTGAGCGCAGGTGCTTGTGGTGAGAGCAGGTGCTTGTGGTGAGAGCTGGTGCTTGTGGTGAGAGCAAGTGCTTGTGGTGAGAGCAGGTGCTTGTGGTGAGCGCAGGTGCTTGTGGTGAGAGCAGGTGCTTGTGGTGAGAGCAAGTGCTTGTGGTGAGAGCAGGTGCTTGTGGTGAGAGCAGGTGCTTGTGGTGAGAGCAGGTGCTTGTGGTGAGAGCAGGTGCTTGTGGTGAGAGCTGGTGCTTGTGGTGAGAGCAGGTGCTTGTGGTGAGAGCAAGTGCTTGTGGTGAGAGCAGGTGCTTGTGGTGAGAGCAGGTGCTTGTGGTGAGAGCAGGTGCTTGTGGTGAGAGCAGGTGCTTGTGGCGAGAGCAAGTGCTTGTGGTGAGAGCAGGTGCTTTTGGTGAGAGCAGGTGCTTGTGGTGAGAGCAGGTGCTGGTGGTGAGAGCAGGTGCTTGTGGTGAGAGCAGGTGCTTGTGGTGAGAGCAGGTGCTTGTGGTGAGAGCAGGTGCTTGTGGTGAGAGCAAGTGCTTGTGGTGAGAGCAGGTGCTTGTGGTGAAAGCAGGTGCTTGTGGTGAGAGCAGGTGCTTGTGGCGAGAGCAGGTGCTTGTGGTGAGAGCAGGTGCTTGTGGTGAGAGCATGGTGAGAGCAGGCGCTTGTGGTGAGAGCATGGTGAGAGCAGGTGCTTGTGGTGAGAGCAGGTGCTTGTGGTGAGAGCAGGTGCTTGTGGTGAGAGCAGGTGCTTGTGCTGAGAGCAGGTGCTGCTGCTGGTGAGAGCAGGTGCTTGTGGTGAGAGCAGGTGCTTGTGGTGAGAGCAAGTGCTTGTGGTGAGAGCAGGTGCTTGTGGTGAGAGCAGGTGCTTGTGGTGAGAGCAGGTGCTGGTGGTGAGAGCAGGTGCTTGTGGTGAGAGCAGGTGCTTGTGGTGAGAGCAGGTGCTTGTGGTGAAAGCAGGTGCTTGTGGTGAGAGCAGGTGCTTGTGGCGAGAGCAGGTGCTTGTGGTGAGAGCAGGTGCTTGTGGTGAGAGCAGGTGCTTGTGGTGAGAGCAGGTGCTTGTGGTGAGAGCAGGTGCTTGTGGTGAGAGCAGGTCCTTGTGGTGAGAGCAGGTGCTTGTGGTGAGAGCAGGTGCTTGTGCTGAGAGCAGGTGCTGCTGCTGGTGAGAGCAGGTGCTGGTGATGAGAGCAAGTGCTTGTGGTGAGAGCAAGTGCTTGTGGTGAGAGCAGGTGCTTGTGGTGAGAGCAGGTGCTTGTGGTGAGAGCAGGTGCTTGTGGTGAGAGCAGGTGCTTGTGGTGAGAGCAGGTGCTTGTGGTGAGAGCAGGTGCTTGTGGTGAGAGCAGGTGCTTGTGGTGAGAGCAAGTGCTTGTGGTGAGAGCAGGTGCTTGTGGTGAGAGCAGGTGCTTGTGGTGAGAGCAGGTGCTGGTTGTGAGAGCAGGTGCTTGTGGTGAGAGCAGGTGCTTGTGGTGAGAACAGGTGCTTGTGGTGAGAGCAGGTGCTTGTGGTGAGAGCAAGTGCTTGTGGTGAGAGCAGGTGCTTGTGGTGAAAGCAGGTGCTTGTGGTGAGAGCAGGTGCTTGTGGCGAGAGCAGGTGCTTGTGGTGAGAGCAGGTGCTTGTGGTGAGAGCAGGTGCTTGTGGTGAGAGCAGGTGCTTGTGGTGAGAGCAGGTGCTTGTGGTGAGAGCAGGTGCTTGTGGTGAGAGCAGGTGCTTGTGCTGAGATCAGGTACTGCTGCTGGTGAGAGCAGGTGCTTGTGGTGAGAGCAGGTGCTTGTGGTGAGAGCAGGTGCTTGTGGTGAGAGCAGGTGCTTGTGCTGAGAGCAGGTGCTGCTGCTGGTGAGAGCAGGTGCTTGTGGTGAGAGCAGGTGCTTGTGGTGAGAGCAGGTGCTTGTGGTGAGAGCAGGTGCTTGTGGTGAGAGCAGGTGCTTGTGGTGAGAGCAGGTGCTGGTTGTGAGAGCAGGTGCTTGTGGTGAGAGCAGGTGCTTGTGGTGAGAACAGGTGCTTGTGGTGAGAGCAGGTGCTTGTGGTGAGAGCAGGTGCTTGTGGTGAGAGCAGGTGCTTGTGGTGAGAGCAGGTGCTTGTGGTGAGAGTAGGTGCTTGTGGTGAGAGCAGGTGCTTGTGGTGAGAGCAGGTGCTTGTGGTGAGAGCAAGTGCTTGTGGTGAGAGCATGTGCTTGTGGTGAGAGCAGGTGCTTGTGGTGAGAGCAGGTACTTGTGGTGAGAGCAGGTGCTTGTGGTGAGAGCAGGTGCTTGTGGCGAGAGCAGGTGCTTGTGGCGAGAGCAGGTGCTTGTGGTGAGAGCAGGTGCTTGTGGTGAGAGCAGGTGCTTGTGTTGAGAGCAGGTGCTTGTGGTGAGAGCATGGTGAGAGCAGGTGCTTGTGGTGAGAGCATGGTGAGAGCAGGTGCTGGTGGTGAGAGCAGGTGCTAGTGGTGAGAGCAGGTGCTTGTGGTGAGAGCAGGTGCTTGTGGTGAGAGCAGGTGCTTGTGGTGAGAGCAAGTGCTGGTGGTGAGAGCAGGTGCTTGTGGTGAGAGCAGGTGCTGGTGGTGAGAGCAGGTGCTTGTGGTGAGAGCAGGTGCTTGTGGTGAGAGCAGGTGCTTGTGGTGAGAGCAGGTGCTTGTGGTGAGAGCAGGTGCTTGTGGTGAGAGCAGGTGCTTGTGCTGAGAGCAGGTGCTGCTGCTGGTGAGAGCAGGTGCTTGTGGTGAGAGCAGGTGCTTGTGGTGAGAGCAGGTGCTTGTGGTGAGAGCAGGTGCTTGTGGTGAGAGTAGGTGCTTGTGGTGAGAGCAGGTGCTTGTGGTGAGAGCAGGTGCTTGTGGTGAGAGCAAGTGCTTGTGGTGAGAGCATGTGCTTGTGGTGAGAGCAGGTGCTTGTGGTGAGAGCAGGTGCTTGTGGTGAGAGCAGGTGCTTGTGGTGAGAGCAGGTGCTTGTGGCGAGAGCAGGTGCTTGTGGCGAGAGCAGGTGCTTGTGGTGAGAGCAGGTGCTTGTGGTGAGAGCAGGTGCTTGTGTTGAGAGCAGGTGCTTGTGGTGAGAGCATGGTGAGAGCAGGTGCTGGTGGTGAGAGCAGGTGCTAGTGGTGAGAGCAGGTGCTTGTGGTGAGAGCAGGTGCTTGTGGTGAGAGCAGGTGCTTGTGGTGAGAGCAAGTGCTGGTGGTGAGAGTAGGTGCTTGTGGTGAGAGCAGGTGCTGGTGGTGAGAGCAGGTGCTTGTGGTGAGAGCAGGTGCTTGTGGTGAGAGCAGGTGCTTGTGGTGAGAGCAGGTGCTTGTGGTGAGAGCAGGTGCTTGTGGTGAGAGCAGGTGCTTGTGCAAAGAGCAGGTGCTGCTGCTGGTGAGAGCTGGTGCTTGTGGTGAGAGCAGGTGCTTGTGGTGAGAGCAGGTGCTTGTGGTGAGAGCAGGTGCTTGTGCTGAGAGCAGGTGCTGCTGCTGGTGAGAGCAGGTGCTGGTGATGAGAGCAAGTGCTTGTGGTGAGAGCAAGTGCTTGTGGTGAGAGCAGGTGCTTGTGGTGAGAGCAGGTGCTTGTGGTGAGAGCAGGTGCTTGTGGTGAGAGCAGGTGCTTGTGATGAGAGCAGGTGCTTGTGGTGAGAGCAGGTGCTTGTGGTGAGAGCAGGTGCTTGTGGTGAGAGCAGGTGCTTGTGGTGAGAGCAGGTGCTTGTGGTGAGAGCAGGTGCTTGTGGTGAGAGCAGGTGCTTGTGGTGAGAGCAGGTGCTTGTGCTGAGAGCAGGTGCTGCTGCTGGTGAGAGCAGGTGCTTGTGGTGAGAGCAGGTGCTTGTGGTGAGAGCAGGTGCTTGTGGTGAGAGCAGGTGCTTGTGGTGAGAGTAGGTGCTTGTGGTGAGAGCAGGTGCTTGTGGTGAGAGCAGGTGCTTGTGGTGAGAGCAAGTGCTTGTGGTGAGAGCATGTGCTTGTGGTGAGAGCAGGTGCTTGTGGTGAGAGCAGGTGCTTGTGGTGAGAGCAGGTGCTTGTGGTGAGAGCAGGTGCTTGTGGCGAGAGCAGGTGCTTGTGGCGAGAGCAGGTGCTTGTGGTGAGAGCAGGTGCTTGTGGTGAGAGCAGGTGCTTGTGTTGAGAGCAGGTGCTTGTGGTGAGAGCATGGTGAGAGCAGGTGCTGGTGGTGAGAGCAGGTGCTAGTGGTGAGAGCAGGTGCTTGTGGTGAGAGCAGGTGCTTGTGGTGAGAGCAGGTGCTTGTGGTGAGAGCAAGTGCTGGTGGTGAGAGTAGGTGCTTGTGGTGAGAGCAGGTGCTGGTGGTGAGAGCAGGTGCTTGTGGTGAGAGAAAGTGCTTGTGGTGAGAGCAGGTGCTTGTGGTGAGAGCAGGTGCTTGTGGTGAGAGCAGGTGCTTGTGGTGAGAGCAGGTGCTTGTGCAAAGAGCAGGTGCTGCTGCTGGTGAGAGCAGGTGCTTGTGGTGAGAGCAGGTGCTTGTGGTGAGAGCAGGTGCTTGTGGTGAGAGCAGGTGCTTGTGGTGAGAGCAGGTGCTTGTGCTGAGAGCAGGTGCTGCTGCTGGTGAGAGCAGGTGCTGGTGATGAGAGCAAGTGCTTGTGGTGAGAGCAGGTGCTTGTGGTGAGAGCAGGTGCTTGTGGTGAGAGCAGGTGCTTGTGGTGAGAGCAGGTGCTTGTGATGAGAGCAGGTGCTTGTGGTGAGAGCAGGTGCTTGTGGTGAGAGCAGGTGCTTGTGGTGAGAGCAGGTGCTTGTGGTGAGAGCAGGTGCTTGTGGTGAGAGCAGGTGCTTGTGGTGAGAGCAAGTGCTTGTGGTGAGAGCAGGTGCTTGTGGTGAGAGCAGGTGCTTGTGGTGAGAGCAGGTGCTTGTGGTGAAAGCAGGTGCTTGTGGTGAGAGCAGGTGCTTGTGGCGAGAGCAGGTGCTTGTGGTGAGACCAGGTGCTTGTGGTGAGAGCAGGTGCTTGTGGTGAGAGCAAGTGCTTGTGGTGAGAGCAGGTGCTTGTGGTGAGAGCAGGTGCTTGTGGTGAGAGCAGGTGCTGGTGGTGAGAGCAGGTGCTTGTGGTGAGAGCAGGTGCTTGTGGTGAGAGCAGGTGCTTGTGCTGAGAGCAGGTGCTGCTGCTGGTGAGAGCAGGTGCTGGTGATGAGAGCAAGTGCTTATGGTGAGAGCAAGTGCTTGTGGTGAGAGCAGGTGGTTGTGGTGAGAGCAGGTGCTTGTGGTGAGAGCAGGTGCTTGTGGTGAGAGCAGGTGCTTGTGGTGAGAGCAGGTGCTTGTGGTGAGAGCAGGTGCTTGTGGTGAGAGCAGGTGCTTGTGGTGAGAGCAGGTGCTTGTGGTGAGAGCAGGTGCTTGTGGTGAGAGCAGGTGCTTGTGGTGAGAGCAGGTGCTTGTGGTGAGAGCAGGTGCTTGTGGTGAGAGCAAGTGCTTGTGGTGAGAGCAGGTGCTTGTGGTGAGAGCAGGTGCTTGTGGTGAGAGCAGGTGCTTGTGGTGAGAGCAGGTGCTTGTGGTGAGAGCAGGTGCTTGTGGTGAGAGCAGGTGCTTGTGGTGAGAGCAGGTGCTTGTGGTGAGAGCAGGTGCTTGTGCTGAGAGCAGGTGCTGCTGCTGGTGAGAGCAGGTGCTTGTGGTGAGAGCAGGTGCTTGTGGTGAAAGCAGGTGCTTGTGGTGAGAGCAGGTGCTTGTGGTGAGAGCAGGTGCTTGTGGTGAGAGCAGGTGCTTGTGGTGAGAGCAGGTGCTTGTGGTGAGAGCAGGTGCTTTTGGTGAGAGCAGGTGCTTGTTGTGAGACAAGGTGTTGGCGGTGAGAGAAGGCATTTTTTATTATCTCCGATTGTTCATTGACTTTTTTCTTTCTTTCTTTTTTGACATTTGTCTCTGCATACTGTACCCGGCCATCAGAGGGAGTGCCGGTTACCATGAGCAGCTCTTTGTTGCGGATGCTCACCGCACATCGTGCTAGTGTTGATGCCGCACTTGCTGCTGCCACATCTGCTGCTTCCACATCTTCTGCCGCCACAACTGCTGCTGCCACAGCTTCTGCTGCCACAACTGCTGTTGCCACACTTGCGACTTCCACTCCTGCAGTTGCCACTCCTGCGGTTGCCACACTTGCTGCTCCCACGCTTGCAAGTGCCACACCTGTTGCCACACGCGCTGCTTCCACCCGTGCTGCTGCCTCCCCAACTACTGCCACACCTGTTGCCACACGCGCTGCTGCCACTCGCACTGATGCCTCCCTCGCTACTGCCACACCTGTTGCCACACACGCTGCTGCCACCCGCACTGCTGCCTCCACCGCAACTGCCACACCTGTTGCCACACGCGCTGCTACCACCCGCACTGCTGCCTCCCCCGCAACTGCCACACCTGTTGCCACACGCGCTGCTGCCACCCGCACTGCTGCCTCCCCCACTACTGCCACACCTGTTGCCACACGCGCTGCTGCCACCCGCACTGCTGCCTCCCCCGCTACTGCCACACCTGTTGCCACACGCGCTGCTGCCACCCGCACTGCTGCCTCCCCCGCTACTGCCACACCTGTTGCCACACGCGCTGCTGCCACCCACACTACTACCTCCGCCGCTACTGCCACACATGTTACCACACGCGCTGCTGCCACCCGCACTGCTGCCACTTGCACTGCTGTTGCCTCCCCTGCCACTGCCATACCTACTACCGTTGCTCCTCGCAAGGTGGGTTCCTCAGGTGAGACGACGACGGGTGCTAGTCTCAAGGGACGCTTGTCTGGTAGTGGGAATAAGGTGGATAAGGAGGAGGGGGGGGCAGATGAGGAGAAGGGGAAGGTGGTGGACAACGCAAAAGGGAAGGTCGTAGATAACGTGAAAGTGAAAGAGGCAGACAAGAGGAAGAACACGGTGGACATATTGAAATGGAAGGCAAAGGTGGATGATGGTCAGAAGGGGACAAGTCGAGGTCATGTGGGTGATGAAGAGGGAGGTTTGGGTAATAAGGAGAAGAGATGTGCAAGCAAGCAGAAGCGGCCCTTGAGCGCAACCCAAAGCGAGATGACTCGCTGGTCCCGCGCGCGTATGGTTCAGGTCTCCCGCGAAAACCCCAACTTATCGCCTCTTCAGGCGTACAACGCCGCCCAACGGCTCTGGAGGATACACCGGTTGAACAGCGAGGCACAGGCGAGGCATGAGGAAAAGGGCGGGGAGGAGGGCGAGAAGGAGGGCGAGGAAGAGAGTGAGGAGAGCGGTGAGGAGGACGAGAAGAAGGAGAGTGAGGAGGGCGAGGAGGAGGGCGAGGAAGAGGGCGAGGAGGAGGGCGGGGAAGAGGGCGAGGAGGAGGGCAGGGAAGAGGGCGAGGAGGAGGGCGACAAAGAGGGCGAGGAGAATGTAGAAAGGCGTGACGACGAACAAGGTGCATCAAGTGACGACGATGTTCAGGAGGTGCAGCTGGTGCGAGTAGCGGGTGATGGAGATGTGAGGGCGCTAGGAAATGTGGAGAAGGGAGTTGGTAGTGCAAGCAGCAGTGGCGCGAATGGTAGACGCAGAAAAAGGAATGCAGTGGAGACTCGCATGAGTGAGGCACAAGTGGATGCGAGTCAGACGGAAACGTTATTTCATGCGTCTCAGATCATTGGCACGCAGTTGCCGCCCTTTTCCACTGTTGGTGACACAGTTGTTCCTGAAGTCTCGAGGGTGAATGAGGCAAGCGGAAGTGGTGGGCGAACCAGGTCATCGCGACTCAAACGAAATAAGCGTGCACAGTAAGAGGTAACTGTGGTGTGCCTTCCCCTCTTCAGCCCCTCTCCCTTCAACTCTAAACCCTAAACCCTAAACCCACTTCACCTCTCTCATTCCTTCCCCTTCACTCCCCTCCACTTGTATTTCCCGCTTTGCCCCCCTTTCCTTTTCCGTCACCTTCCCTCCCCCCCCCCTTTTTGCCTCTCTTAACGTATCGTCCTTTCGCCACGTATCGGTTCTCCTTCCCCACCTCTGTTTTTCCCCGTCAATGAGCAGATTACAACAACGACTACTGCAATGGCTGGAGCACAGCAATGGAAGTGAGAGTAGTGCCGAACAGGGGTCATGCTAACTGATTAAATTTCAAACTTGCATGGTGGTAATACTTTTAGAGTTTGCTTGCACATTCGCCAGCAGGTCTTCAAATTGAACTTAGGGAGCATTCCTGTGCAGACACTTTTGTCTAAATTTCCTTTCTCTCGAGTCGCGCCTGCAAATTTACCAAATGTCGCGTCACAAACAGCAAATGTATCGCGGCGTAGAGCGACAGATGGGCAGGTACAATTGGACACTTTTTATTGGTTGCGACCAACCGGATCAGGCCCACGCGTTGTCCCTCTGGGGAGGGTGGTACCGTATGGCCCCGGATATAGGCGCATATGCGCTTATAATAAAATCATTTTTTTGAGGGGGGGCGCTTGTAATTGAGTAACGGCCATAAGCGCCGGCGCTTATATAATGACAAATACGAAATTATAATTTTAGAGCACCAAATTGTTCATTTTCTTCTTGCCATTTCAACCGAGTCGAAATGTTTTAGCGCCACAATGCAGAATCTTGCACAAGCGATATTCAGGGTTCACACACGGGCAAAGCCACGTCATTCCAGCACATCCTGACTGGACGCGCAGCCAGTCAGGTCTTCACGAGTCAAACGAAGCGAAATTGAAATCTGACTCGCTGCAAAAATTGATTTCGTTACTGTTTTAGGCAAGAATTTAAATTCAAATCGCATATGCGCTTATAATTGAATTCCAGCCATAGGCGCCATGCTCCAGATAGAAGCGCCGGCGCCTTTAATCGGACGGCGCCTATATCCGGGGCCATACGGTAAAACAATGTGCATAAAGCGAGTACCCGCTTTGCGGGCCACAGTAACGAAGCTTGCAAAATATGTACAAGAGTCCGTAAGGACACGTCACACATTTGTGCACAAAAGGCATACGTCACCAACTTTTTTACAACACACATCACAAGTCGTCATTGCTACAGCCTTGTGCTGTGCCATTGCTCATGCAACTGCTCGTCGCGTGGATCACATTCTACTACACTATCTTCATGGACATCGTCGCTAGGTCGGTCGGCGGTTTCATGGAAGCCAACATCTTCGCCGACGAAGATACGTCGACGTCCACCTCCTACGGCTCCAACATATCGGCCGATAGGAAGACAAGGGCATGTCTCCGCAGGTGGAGGTACCAATTGTTGCTAGAGGACATGCAAGGCATGGTAGACAAAGAGTTCAGGGACCCATTTGGATAACCCGGGCAATTCTCGAGTACATTGTCACAGGCTTGGAATACTACATGCTGCCCTATGTGGACAGGTACACCATCACCCATGAGGAGGCCTGCTTAGTCGCGATTTACCATATCACCCCGGATAGTAGCGCATATGCGCTTATAATAAAATTTAAAAAGTTAGGGGGGGCGCTTGTAATTGAGTCTAGGGCATAAGCGCATGCTCTTATATAATGACACTCACAAAAATGCATTTTTAGAGCACCAAATAGTACATTTCATTCTTGCCATTTCAACCGAGTCGAATATTTTTCGAGTCACCAGGCAGAATCGCGCGGAAGCGATTCTCTGCCAACACACAGTGTGAAAGACACGTTCTGGGAGCTCATCATGACTGGACGCGAAGCCAGTCAGGTCTTCGCGAGTCAAACGAAGCGAGAATGAAATCGAACTCGCTGCAAAAATGAAACTCGATACCGTTTTTAACAGAATTTCGAATTAATATTGTATGCGCGCTTGTAATGAGTAAGGATTTTTCAGGGGGGGGCGCTTATAATTGAGGACCGGCCATAAGCGCATGGCTCCAGATAGAAGCGCCGACGCTTTTAATAGGACGGCGCTACTATCCGGGGTGATACGGTAGTACCTGGCCAGTGGAATGTTGTACGTAAACTTGTCCCGTCTCTTCGGCCTGTCCAAGACCCTTTGTCATGCGCTTGTTGACGCGTCGCTGGTGCATTTCATGTCCGTCTCAAGCAGCAGTTGGTCCATTTTCCTACCCGCGAGGATCTCGACGATGATGAGCCATCAAGGGTGTACCTGCTGTAGTGGGGGCTATAGACGGGACACACATTCACATGACGGGCATGGAGGGGCACAGGCAAGAGTACTACGTGAGAAAATCTTGTTACGCCGTGCAACTGCAGCTGACATGCGATGCGCGGGGCATCATATGGGACTACCTCATCAGCTACCCAGGCAGTGCTCACGATCAGAGAGTATTCATGAACAGCACGTTACACGAAATGTTGAACAACGACGACATAGCGCCATATCAAATAGTGGGAGATGCGATATACCCATTCAGAGATTTCTGCCTGACCTTCCTACATGCACCCCGTAAGGGTCTAATGGAAGATTGGGAGCAGTGCTTCAACTACTGCCAAAGCGCTACGTGCATGGCTGTTGAGTGCTGCATCGGTGCTTTCAAAGGCCAGTATCGTCTACTCGTGGGCCACAATGACTGCAAGCTCTGGCGCGTTCTTGCAGGGGCGTCTTGTGGCGTCATCCTGCATAACATGTGTGAAACAATGGGTGCAGTGAGGCGCGTCAACGCTTCGTGGGCCAACTTGCCACGAAACCGCGACCCATGGTGGACATGTGGAGCGGTAGCAAAGTTCAAGTGGGAGCCTTGTGACCCGTGCACACAGACTACTTTGCGGGAAAGGTGCAAGCAGCTCGACGAGGCACTGGAGTCGTCGTACCTTACTCGTCGTCGCCGCGAACCTACACCTCCTCGGCCGCATTCGGGTTAGAGGCGCTATCACCAGCCTGCCTGCGACGGAACCATTCGTCGTCGCCGCCTTTGGCAGCGTTCGTTGCAGGCTGGTTGTCCGCGTCATCGAGGATGTTGTTGCGGGCCGGCGGAGTGGAGGCGCGCTGCACCTGGCGTTCGCGCGCAATACGCTCGTCCTGCTCCATCCATGCGCGGACGAGGCCTTCGAGCCTGTTTGATTGACAGCCTTTGATGGTCTCGCAGACAAACTTGGCGGCCATGGTAGCCGTCTCTGCAACCTGCGGGCGCTTCGATGTCGGAGTGCCCTACGGAGGGAGAGCAGAACACGCACAGTCGGGACACATTATTTTGATTGAGATGTATCTTGTATTACGAGTATTCATTTAATACGGCGAGTTTACATTCACATCCCAGATCCAACAATCGAAAACGGTCAATGAACTTACTAGTAAAAATCAGCGTAGAGGTGCATGGCGCGGACGTTGACGGAACCGTGAACCCGCAAGGCACATTGATGTGTGTTGCACCACCGCCGTCGACAGCGTGAGGGTGGGCCACGGCCCAGTTGTTCTGGAAGAGCTCCATATACGGGAACCACTGCGGCTTACACACCATTCCTTTACTCGATGCCTTCTCCCTCTTTTTCAGTTCCTTGTACATGGTGACGAGATTGCACCACTGCTTCTGCACAGCGTTCACGCCACGCACCCACCTGGGATTCTCCTTTTCGATGTGGCGGACAAGGCGAGCCCAGTACTTGGAGACTTGCTTGCCAAGGAGGGGCTCGAGCTCGTCCTTCATGAACCAACGCGCTGCGACGAAAATCGTGTTCTCGCGTGGTGACTAGACGCCGCGCTTAATCGGGTGCATGTTGAGCGTATTGGCCGCGCCTCGAGGAAGTTCACCGCCCTTAGCGGCGGTCTTGACTGCGGCTGCGGTCGTGGTACGGCCACGGCGAGACTTGGGTTCTGCGGGCTGCGCCTCCTCAGGGGCGTCATCTTCGTCGCCATTGGCATCGTCGGCGTCGACCTCTTCCTCAGAGTCGGACATACCCTTGTCCTCTTCCTTTCCAGAGTCCGCCTCGTCTTTGGTGCCGTTGTCGCACTCGTTGTACTCCAAGTCTTCGTCCTCGTTACCGAACGCGTCATCGTCCACGACACGGGAGGAGGCAACCCGGTCAGTCACACGACGTCCGAGAGAAGGGACATCACGCGAGGCTTGGTAAGAATTGTTTCCCGCCTCAGGCGTTCCTTCGGGCAACGGGCCGGCGGGCTTGCGTTCGGCTGCGAGCTGCTTGTTTATCCAAGCAATATACGTGATCTCGTTGAGATCCCGCACGCACATGTCAGCAGTAGTAGCTTTGCTCTTGCGCTTACTGGCCATAGCTACGTAGTGGGATAGATATTTGGAAGAGGAAAACAACAGAAGAGAGTTGGGGTTGGGTGAGGAGATGTAAAGGAAGTTGGGGAGGGAGAGATGTCACCAGGTATGGAAAGGTGTGCATGACCGGGCAGGCAAGTGCGAAGGTATTCAGTGAGCACCACTCGTTGGTCTGCCCGGCCAGGGAGGTTTCGTTTCCCGCTCAAATCTGCCACCACTTCAGGCGTTCAGGTGCATGCGGTCGGGCCGGTCCACAGCTTGACAAATTCCACACGCGTGGGATTTCAAGGACGTGTCGGGGCCTCATTTAACTCGTCCGCTACACCAGCGCAATTCACGCCAACCAATGTAAAATACAGTGAAAGTTGCATTAGTGCGATCCGCGTTTGTGACACAATATAGTTTATGCAGATTTTGTGAGAATGAGAACGAGGAATGAGTGCATTGAGCAGCATAAGGAGTACAAGTAGTAAACCCTAACACTACTGTACCCCATAAGGAGTGCCCCACTACATCCTACAATATAGTTCTGACACACCCCCATAGGCAAAGTGGCAGACAAGCAAGAGAACAAGGCAAGGTCAATCTCAGGGTGGATCACAACGTCACCACACATTCTGAGCACAAGTTCAAGGCCACAAGGCCAGTTCACATGCAGGATTATAAATCAAGGTGAACAAGCAAGACACTGACCTCAACCTAACAAGGATAAGCATGCAAGTGCAGGAATATATAGATCACAGTACAAGCAAGAGATAAGCAAGTGAGGCCCGGTAGGCACAAGACCTAGCATAGTACAGAAACGCGGATGATCACAAGGCTGAAGTGCCTTGGTAAAGATATCAGCAGTGTTGGCCCAAGAGGCCACGTAAGCAAGACGAAGCTGACTACGCTGCTGCAACTCTCGAGCAAGGAAGTAGCGCAGAGCAATGTGCT